AGCGGTTTAGTCCAAATTTTCTGAAGCGACTCGATCGCTTTATATGATGAACAAATTGAGTTTAGGCTTTTATTCACATATTTATCAACACTCATCAGTTATGATAAACGGAAGCTCAAGAATATTCGCTTGACGTGCGAAAACCAATGAGGTTCATTCTCGTGTTACGCAGCACGTTTGAGCTTCAGCAAGAACCAATGAGGTTCATTCTTGTGTTACGCAGCACGTTTGAGCTTCAGCAAGAACCAATGAGGTTCATTCTCGTGTTACGCAGCACGTTTGAGCTTCAGCAAGAACCAATGAGGTTCATTCTCGTGTTGCGCAGCACGTTTGAGCTTCAGCAAGAACCAATGAGGTTCATTCTCGTGTTGCGCAGCACGTTTGAGCTTCAGCAAGGACCAATGAGGTTCATTCTCGTGTTACGCAGCACGTTTGAGCTTCAGCAAGAACCAATGAGGTTCATTCTCGTGTTACGCAGCACGTTTGAGCTTCAGCAAGAACCAATGAGGTTCATTCTCGTGTTACGCAGCACGTTTGAGCTTCAGCAAGAACCAATGAGGTTCATTCTCGTGTTGCGCAGCACGTTTGAGCTTCAGCAAGAACCAATGAGGTTCATTCTCGTGTTACGCAGCACGTTTGAGCTTCAGCAAGAACCAATGAGGTTCATTCTCGTGTTACGCAGCACGTTTGAGCTTCAGCAAGAACCAATGAGGTTCATTCTCATATTACGCAGCACGTTTGAGCTTCAGCAAGAACCAATGAGGTTCATTCTCATATTACGCAGCATGTTTGAGCTTCAGCAAGAACCAATGAGGTTCATTCTCATATTACGCAGCATGTTTGAGCTTCAGCAAGAACCAATGAGGTTCATTCTCATATTACGCAGCATGTTTGAGCTTCAGCAAGAACCAATGAGGTTCATTCTCGTGTTACGCAGCACGTTTGAGCTTCTGCAAGAACCAATGAGGTTCATTCTCATGTTACGCAGCATGTTTGAGCTTCTGCAAGAACCAATGAGGTTCATTCTCGTGTTACGCAGCACGTTTGAGCTTCAGCAAGAACCAATGAGGTTCATTCTCGTGTTACGCAGCACGTTTGAGCTTCTGCAAGAACCAATGAGGTTCATTCTCGTGTTACGCAGCATGTTTGAGCTTCTGCAAGAACCAATGAGGTTCATTCTCATATTACGCAGCACGTTTGAGCTTCAGCAAGAACCAATGAGGTTCATTCTCGTGTTACGCAGCACGTTTGAGCTTCTGAAAGAACCAATGAGGTTTGATCTCAGGCGTCAAGCAGGTTCGGTTGAGCTTCCGTTTAAGTTCGCTGATCAAAGTTTGTGAATAAAAGCTAAAATTCAATTTGTTCATCATATAAAGCGATCGAGTATCTTCAGAAAATTTGGACTAAACTGCTCAATTCATATGGATCAGTTTTATGATCTCTTTATGGATGAATCTCTGTGAACAAACTCTTTAATTTCGTTTTTTTCTTTTCCTTTTTAAGCTTTATATATTGATGTTTTAACTTCAACTTTTATTTATATAGCACATTTAATTGCAACGTTGTTGCCCAAAGTGCTTCAGTTTACGGTAAAAACATGCATCTATGAAAACATTTATCAAGCCTAGCAGAGAACGCATGTTATCTGCAGACTACACACTCTTAGACATACCCCTCACCCAAAAGTATATGAGATCAGTGTAGAGAGAAATAAAACTAACTAAAAATAAGTTATAACTACAATGTACACAACCCTTAACTAAAAGCCAAGTTTTTAACTGAGACTTAAAGATTTCTATTGTTTGAGCTAATCGGATATGAAGGGGAAGACTGTTCCACAACTTGGGAGCCACAACTGAAAAAGCTCTGTCACCCTTTGACTTCTTTTTAGAATAGGGGACCGCCAGCAAGGATTGGTTTGTTGATCTTAATGTCCTGCCTGATGTGTAAGAATCTAAAAGGTCAACAATGAAGTTTGGGGAGATGTTATGCAATGCTTTAAAAACCATTAATAAAATCTTATACTCAATCCTGTACTGAACCGGTAGCCAATGAAGGGAGCATAATACTGGAGTAATGTGTAATCTTAGAAATCAATCTAAGCTGATAAAAAATATTCTTTACAACAGAATTTATCTGTTTATCAAAGCTTAGGGATGAGTCGGTTATTACACCAAGATTTCTCACACTGTCTTTCACCGTCATTTCTAATAGAGCAAGACTACTGGCTATCTTCTCTTTGAATTTTGGTGGACCAAATATTGTAATTTCAGACTTTTTTTCATTAAGTTGAAGAACATTTTTAGACAGCCAAAGTTTAAGCTCATTCAAACAGTCCAACATAGAGTTGAGGGACTGTTCGTTCCCGACTTTATAGGAATTTAATTAAGTTTGAATTTAATCAAACTTGTAGGGTTAGGGCGCAATTCAGTTAATTCCTTTTCCTGTTATTTCATTTCAACATCATGTACAAATTCTAAAGTTTTCCTAATTCCTTATCAATAAAAGTGTTGTAAGTGTTGAAATCTGTAGATTTCTCTTGCAAGAATGCATTGATAAAGTGACATTAAAAATGTTTTTCAAATAAATGCTGTTTTTTTTTATTACTTTTTATTCATCAAAGGAATATTAAAAATGTATTATGGTTTCCATAAAAAACATAAAGCACAACTATATTCAACATTGATAAGAAATGTTTGAGCAGCAAATCAGGATATTAGAATGATTTCTGAAGGATCATGTGACACTGAAGACTGGAGTAATGATGCTGAAAATTCACAGGAGTAAATTGTAAGCGTATTATCCAGTTGTGCCTTGAGTCAATTGTTTTGTGTGATAACGAAATGAAACATGCCAAATTGTGCAGATGTAAATTTTGTACATTTTACAATATTCAAGTATAAAGAGGTTTTTAAATGTGTTTTTACTGTCATTTTAATTTAATGCAGCCTTGGTGAGCAAAAGAGACTTTAAATTTGACAGTCTTACTTTCATATGCAATGTTCCCTTTATGAGGGGCTTGGGTATAATATGGTTTATTATCATATTAATTGTTTTCTATTGCCTTTTTCTGCAGCCAAAATTGCACCACTGAGAGTGCCAGCCTTACAAGCCACTAAAAGAGCGAGCCCTACGAACTCTACCATATAGAACTATGGACGCAGGACTCTGGATGGTTGACTGACTGTTTGAATTGTGTGTGTGTGTGTGTGTGTGTGTGTGCGCGTGCATGTTTAGCTACCATGAATGTCTGTCTGTCTGTGTGTGTGTGTGAATGTATGTGGACGTGTATGAAACAAGATGGGGGAGTGAATTTCTCTGTGAATTCAGAAAATACCTCAGAATCTACTGAATAATGCTGCTACTTAAATGTTGTTTATAAAATGGATTAAAATATTCTTTATACTCAGCACTGTCTGTATTTCACTCAATGTTTTGTTTTAAAAGTAAACTAATTAAATTGTATGTGTGTGAGAGAGAAAGAGGTGCGTGTGTATATATAAATTATATTTATTTATTTTATAAAAAGTATTTTTAACACCACTGAACTAAATGTATTAAGCATGTTTTTTTGAAAGTGAAAGTGAAAAAGTGAAAGTGACACGTGTTGGCCAAGTATGGTAACCCATACTTGGAATTTGACCTCTGCATTTAACCCATCCAAGTAAGTGCACACACATTAGGAGCAGAGTAGTGAGTAGTGAACACACACACTGCAAACGTGGATACACACACCCGGAGCAGCGGGCAGCCTTGAGTGGCGCCCGGGGAGCGATTGGGGGTTAGGTGCCTTGCTCAAGGACACCTCAGTCATATTCCTGCCGGTACTGGAATCGAACCAGCAACCTTTGGGTCACCAGTCCAACTCTGTTACCATTAGGCCATGACTGCCCAATTGCCCATTGTTTTTTTGTGTTTACTTCATTCATGGTCTGTTTTTTTGTTTTGTTTTGTTTTTTTATGGCCCTAAAACTTAATCGTCACGAATGTGCTCTTTTTAAACGTAATCTCCATAAATCTGTTTTAAAAAAAATCCATATCCATGAAATGCTGGAAAAATAATGGAAATCCATTGGTCAGTGGTGTGGATTGTGGAACCCTGTATTTAAGAACACCACACCTTTTCTGCCAAGTGTACAAAAATTACAAACTGGTCACTGGTTCGCCTCTAGATGTCTTTCTGCTTTGTTTTTCTCACTTTTAAATGTCTTGCGCATCCATTACTCTGGCAAAATCTTAGCTCTTAAATATTAAGTAGGTTAATGTTACGTATGATGTTTATTTTGAATATTAAAAAGGCTATGCCGACGTTCCTCGGCTATAGTCCTATGGCGAACGCTTGTTCATGAATATTAATGTGATCATGCTCGTTGCCCGGTAACCTTCCAATCGCAACCATAGATATGTATACGTAGATCAACATTCGACCTTCACGACACGTCAGCGGGCCCGCCATCATGCAACGGTCAACGTATCGTCACTCTCAATAAGCAACTTAGAATCGATGCTGCCACACAACATTGCGCAGCTTCTGGTTGTGAAACCTCTGAGATTTAAATTCCCGAAGAAATTGGATAACTTTTCATAGTTGAGAATGAGTTGGTTTGTGTTTTTATATGTATTAACTCAATATTCCATGTTTTACTATGGCACTTTGGTAACTGTTTTTACTTTTACTATGCTAACTTTTTAATGTCGTGTGAGCTGACGCCTTTGTCTTGTTGTATTGTGTGTTAGTTTAGCAAAATCATCTGATGAAGTTTGTTTCATTTATAGATATTCATACATGCGTTACTACCCTTGCAGACTTTCCTCAAATTGCTTTCGAAATGTTTACGGACCGCTCCAATATGGCGGACAGCGTACATGTTGCGGCTCATTGTAACGGCCGCAAATGAGGCATCTAGGTATATACTCTTTGATCACAACTGCATGGCTCCTGAATATTAAGAGACAACACTACCGTAGTACGATCCCTATCCAGGAAATGCGTTTTTTAAGTATCACTGACTGTCACACCAACCACTAAACAGGAATAACAGCTTATCTTTTTTTTAAACGGAGTTGTAATGTTATGCATTTCGGTTCTAGAAGCCCTGGATAAATCTGGTTTGGTGAAGCTCAGTGGGGATGACACTTAAGAGACACATTTTCTGTTGTGTAACGTTAACTTGGGCTTAAATGTAAGTATTGAGGTGAGTTGCTGAGGAATGCCGCTCGAGACGCGCTCGTCGTCGCGTGTGGAGTACAGCGCGGTTGGAGAGGGACTCGGGATGCGGGACTTCTGGCTCTATGTGTGGCTGCGCAGAGTGTCTGTGGTCGCTGCGCACATCATTTCCCTCGGCCTGATCATTATCATTTCCATACTGTCCAGACCAGGAACAAGTGAGTTATTTCACTTCTTTTGCATTTACAACTGCATGTACATATTTGATACATATAGCGTTACCTACATGTTGTCAGTCTGTGGCAATACCATATGACATGGTAATGCACTAATGCCATAATACTGAAATTCAAGTGGCATTTACATGGTACTTAAAGGGATAGTTCACCTAAAAATTAAACTTCTGTCATCATATACTCACCCATAAGTTGTTCCAAACCTGTATGAATTTCTTACTTTTTCTGAAAAGAAGATATTTAGAAGAATATGGGTAACCAAACAGTGGACGGGACCCAATTGACTTCCATATACAAAAAAATTCATACTATGGAAGTCATGAGGCCCATCAACTGTTTGGTTACCCATATTCTTATAAATATCTTCTTTAGTGTTCAGAAGAAGAAAGAAATTCATAACCAATAATATACTAGTACTATGTATGGTAATACTTTATGGTGTTAAAAAGTATTCGCAAAACTTTATTTAAAAAAAATATGTAGCACGTATTCCTGACTAAAAAGTCATTTTGATTACAACATACTCGAATTATAAGTATGAGTATAAAAATGAATGAAAGTGCCATTCCATTTCCACAACAAAGTACCTTGGTTACCATAGTAGTTTGTACTGTAAGTGCACTGTTGCATTTTTATGGTATTATTAGAAATATATTAGAGCGTGAATACAATTAATCATTCACGTATATTGATATTATTAGGATGTTTTTGGACATTTTGCCATGGTTTTAAAGATGTATCATGGTGATTCCATGTTTTGTGTTGTTTTTTGATGTACCAAATTGGAGTACCATGTAAATAGCATTGTATAAATGATTTTTTTTTTGTACTATGGTAATTATAGTAGAAACATGAACTAAAGATGTTGAGCATTGGTATGGTTAGGTATTGATAAAATAAAAATTAATATTTGTGTTTCTAAATATCATGCTGTGTTGATGGTTTCAGGTCTTTTCTCTTGGCATCCCGTCTGCATGTCACTTGGGGTACGTTATTATGTATTCAATTACACAAGATATTATACAATTCATTATGTTTTTAGCCATAGGTTGATAAAAGTCCGATTTCTTTTTTTATAGTCACTCCTGCAGTTTTTAATAATGCAGTGTGTTTCATTGACTTTCAGCCTCTCAGGGAATGAATAAAATATGTCTTTTGTTAATAATGAATAGAGTGTGGTGAAACACAAAGACAATGGAATTAGCCTCAGCTGCTTTGCCATGAGAGTCTGATTACACTGACCTTGATGACAAATACAACACATGCACTTCTAATAACAGAGGTCATTCTCAGAATCAGACTCATGTACAGTACAGTAATAGTCTGTTATTTTCTCTCTAGACAGAACAGTTAGTAAGTCATCATATACACTACCGTTCACTCACCACACTTTAACTTTATCATATATTTTAGTAATCGTCATGAATTAGGTATCAATCGAAAGCTTAAACACTCAATATTCAACCTGTGAAAATTGTTTTGAACATTGTTGAAAAAAAAAAAATTTGTCAAATAAATCCTGTTCTTTTGAACTTTATATTCATTAAAGCATCCTGAAAAAATCGATCACCGTTTCCACAAAACTATATTAAGCAGCACAAGTGTTTTCAACATTAATAGTAATAAGAAATGTTTCTTGAGCAGCACATCAGCATATTAAAATGATTTCCGAAGGATCATGTGACACTGAAGACTGGAGTAATGATGCAGAAAATTCAGCTTTGATCACAGGAATAAAATACATTTTACAATACATAGAAAACAGTTATTTTAAATTGAAATAATATTTTACATTATTACTGTTTTTACTGTATTTTTGATCAAACAAATACAGCCTTGGGGAGCATAAGAGACTTGTTTGAAAAAAATTGATATTGAACTCTTCCAAAAAAAAGCAGGACAATTGGTGTTTTACTTGATATGTCCTGTTTTCTCTCCCGTCTTAGTTTTGCCTGTGTATGACTGAAGGGATCCTGCTTTTCTCCGCTGAGGGAAACCCGTTCTGCTTCAAATCCCGTAAGTGGAAGGTCCGCCTGCACTGGTTCTTTCAGGCCCTGCTGCTGGTGTGTGGCGCTACAGGATTCGGCTTCATGGTGGCCAGTAAGAACATAAAGGAGCATTCGCACTTCACCTCCTGGCACAGCCTGCTGGGAGTCACTACGATGGCTGCTACTGTCCTGCAGGCCATGTGTGGCGTCTTTCTCCTGTTCCCCAAACTCATCAGCACTTACTCGTTTCCTCGGTGGAGACTGTATCACGCCACCTGTGGTCTGGTGGCCTACCTGCTGGCCACCGTCACGGTCATGTCAGCCATGTTTACAGACTGGTTTCAGGCCTCGGTGACAGGCCCTATCTGGTATATCTTCCTACTCCTCCCACTTTTTCCCGCCTTAGTGGTGATGAACCAAATCACTAGTGCCTTCCTGCCCAAAAAGAAGATTACTAGTTGAAAACTAAAGCCTTCTAAGCAGTTGAGATAGGGCCTGCAGTCATACGAACAGCCGAGAAAAGGCTGTTTAAGTCTACATAACATAGGAAAACTATAAATATTCATCCAAACCAGTAGGTGGCAATATAAAGTCCAAAACCACTTTTGTATTAAATAAGTAAAGGGAGTGAAAAGTACAAATAGCATTTTTGTGTCCTTGAAGAGCACTTTTGGTGAGAGGGGTGATCATAGGGTAGAAAGTTAAAAAGAATGAAAGTTAGCAATTAAAGGTGGTTAGAGAACTAGTTAATTTAATGAAGTAAATTTTCTGTTTATAATCACGCGATTCTGCGTGTAAATGCCTATTTACTCTTGTAAACCCAAGGACTATGCACCGCAAATATAGTTTTCAATATTTACATAATGTTAGTTCAATTATAATGGTATGCTGACTACTGATATTTTGTTCTTAAGGACATGCTTGAACATTGTAAATGAGTAATTATATCTATTTTTTTGTAACCTAATACAAGCAACTGTTTTTTACTATGCACTGGTGAATAAGGAAATGGGAAAATGAACAAAATGGCATTTGCATTGCAAGAATATGCTTATTGTATACAGTAAACGTGTACATATTATAGGTGTATGTGTTTCCCTGGATCACAAAACCAGTCACAAGTAGCACGCGCGTATATTTGTGGCAATAGCCAACAATACATTGTATGCTTTTATGCCAAAAATCATTAGGATTTTAAGATCATGTTCCTTGAATATATTTTGTACATTTCCTACTGTAAATATATAAAACATTTATTTGTGTGAGTGAATGCAGCACAATCGCAAACATAAATGGACAACTTTAACGGTGATTTTCTCAATGTTTTTATTTTTTTGCACCCTCAGATTCTAGATGTTCAAATAGTTGTATCTCGGCCAAATATTGTCCTATCCTAACAAACCATACATCAATGGAAATCTTATTTATTCAGCTTTCATGTGATGTATAAATCTCAATTTTTAAAAAACTGACCCATGTGACTGGTTCTGTGGTCCAGGGTCACATATTATTGTCATGTTCGTCTCTTATTTTTAACCATCCTTCCGAGTTTTACATTGTTGTTTTAGAGAGCTGTAGTTCAGTTTGTTCATGTTGCGGTAGCATTAGTTGTGTGCCTTTAATTGTCTGTATGACACTTTCCTGAACAATATGACATAAAATGAAAGTCATTTTGACATTTTTTTTTCGTTGTCTGGACTAGGAATGCAACGAGAATATTTTACTGTTCTTCCCAATATTTATTTTTATTATGGCCGATAATAAATATGTTTTGTGTGTTATTTGAAGAAAACTATGTAAGCTTCAGTCTTAATATAAGCCCAAGTATTATCTGTATCCAATATTGACCAAATAACAGCGTTAAAAAAGGAGAAGAGCTGATACCGTTATATTGTGCATAGACAGTAAAGTGAGCAAATTGATGCTTAGTTCTAAGCTTTATTTGTAAAGTCAGTGTCAGTGTATTTCTTTGCATTATGTGGCACATAACTAGAGATTATTTGTTGGTCTCTTGTGTGTGTATATTCCTGTATTATTTATGTGTGCATTCTAACAAACACTAGACTAGTATAACTGCAGTGTTATGGATTCAGTTTAATCCAGAATGGTTACTGTATTGATTTGACAGTGCATTCTGTTAGAATTTTTTATGAAACTGCACAGTGTGGTCAGGTTATAAGATTTTAAACTATGGCCCTATGAATGTAGAAAACAATGACTCAGGGTTGTCTATGAATTACTGGCTTAATTACAAATATATATATATATATATTATAGTATAATATAGTATTTTACTCTATACTGTATGAAATGTATTTGAGGGTTGGTGTGATCTTTCTTATGAACAGTGAATGATTGTTTCTACTCAATTTCTATAAAATAAACATAAGCATCATTTACAAACAGACTTGTCGCATGTTTTATCTGCTGATGTCATACTTATTGTAATAAAAACTAATTAGCTATTTATACTTATACATAGTAAATAGACAAACTTTCCCATGATTTATTTAAAATCGCATTCATCAGATTTCTACACAGATGTAGAAATAAAATTTTAAATAATCAGCAATCAGCTTAGTCACAAAATATTTTTTACAAGTTATTTTTTAGCAGGAAAAGAAGACGGGCTATTTGTACTTGATGTAAATAGACACTCTGTAAAAGGATAGTTAAGCATTTTGAAACGGTCCAAAGTCTCATGTACCAAACACAAAAATCATCTCTGAACATGATGCTTGATTGGAGGTAGATAGATACTGTGTTGGAAAACCAATTTGTTTTGGCTTTTAAAATAAGTTTGTGCTTGTCAGAACATATTCAAACAAATAAATAAAGACCTCAAAAGCAATGTAGTTCATAATGCACAGCAATCAAAAAGATTCACACTGTACTGGAGACACAGATGTCATCTTGAGCTATTTTTAACATGGATTTTGAATGCTTGTGTACGCGTAGCCTCTTCCAGGAGAGGAAAACATATCAAGTGATCCAGAGAATCACATTAAGAATCGCACAAAAAATTCCCATTAAGGCTAAAGCCTTCAGTCCCCGGTGTAATCCAGTGTAAAAAGGAACATGAGCATGATCATAAACCCATGTGCTTCATTGACCCTCTTCACAGATGAGCGTGACTGTGCCGTTCAGTAGATCTTCCATGCTCACGGCCACGATTCCAGAGCCGCTGGGAGTTTCCTGTTGATCCCCCAGAGCGACGAACACCTGCGGTGACCCCTCAATCCGGGATTGGTCGAGGCTAATCACCTGCTCCACCTCTTGACCGGCTGTCTCCTCACACTGAATCACCTGGAAAGAGTCAAGAAAACCTCAGTAAAGCCTCTTTTGTTGACAAGGAAGAACTGTGTAGTGAAATATGATTTAAGGCAAGACTACAGACAAAACCTGATTTTTCAGGGACTGGTCAATTTTGAGATTTTGGGCTATTTTGCTTCCTTTTAATAACACATTTAAGTGTTTATTTAATCACTCTTCTTTATATATGTGCATCTGTAGATTTAAATTACAATTCAAAGGCCATTTTTCGAAATAATTTTTTTCTCATGCACTGAGCCAGAAATCTCAATTTCAGTGGCACTTAATATACAGCAGACTTTCCAGGTATATTATATTCCTATCTATTTCTTAAGATTTTTACAGAGAACTTTTTTTCTTCTTCTGGCTGCTGACAGTATTTTCAGTGATAAAAAGAGATGCTCTCTTTAAAAACCTTAAGTGCAATAATCCAATGTTCAGATTTCTGCTTATTAGTGCAAATTTAATTAGATAATAAATAATGTGCATTTGTAAATATAAAATATTTTAAATATAAAACAAGTTTGGTAAAACCAATGCCTTAACCATTGCAAATATCATTTAGTATTTCGGACATTTCATGGAAAACAGTATGATCTTGATATAAAAGTTTTGATGTACTATAGATGTTCTGCAAAAATACCAAAGCATTAATCTTAAAACTACAAAAACAATATGTACTGCGATTAATCAAATGTGGTGATATTTATTCATTAAAAATTTGACCCTGTTCACCTGTTGTGTCTTGCCTTAACCATTGCAAATATCTTTAAGTTAAATGGACACAATATTTTGGGCATTTGGTTGTGAAACCTTGACTAATATTACAAGTGGATGTCAAAGGAAATTGCTATAAAATAGTAAATGATGATTCTTTAAACTTTAATTGCACTGCAGATTCAATTAAATTTCACTTCTAACATTTTCTAATTTCTGTCATGATAGTGGGAGGTTTGGGGCGTCACCGTATGAGAACTGGAGGCCTGTGTCTGTGCTTCCTCTTGCATGAGCTGCAGGTGTTTGGACAGGAAGTGCTGCTGGAAGTCTGCCTCTGAGGGGAAGTGGAGAGAGCAGATCATACAGCTGAACACAGAGCTGGTCTGACTCGACTGTCCACTGCAGACGTGCTGCTGCAGCCCCTGCTCGCTCGTCAGAGTGCTGTCACAGTTCACACACTTCCACACGCGCACTTCTGAACAACACACACACACACACAATCAATACTAGTACATTGAACAGTAACAGTATCAATATCAATGGTTAGTTAATACTATCTTAGTGGTCATTCTTTACCTGTGTGATTGGTTATCTGGTGTTTTAACAGACTGTTTCGGTTGCTAAATGTCTTGTCACACTTGTCACACTGCAGGAGAGATTTGATGGATTTGTTGCCCTGAGCAGAGACACTCTCAGGGTGGGCAGTGCGATTGTGGTACCACAGACCGGAGAGAGTCTGAAACGAAGACATAGAAACTAAATGGTAACAATGTTTGATTAATGTGCTTGTACTGTCCTCATTAATAAATGTATTTATGTGTGTGTGTGTTCAAATGAATAATTAAAATAATGATCATTTTAATAAAAATATTAAGATTATTAATAAAATAATATTATATTCATCAAATAATACCGGAAAAAATGTTTCTTGAGCAGCAAATCAGACTGGAGTAATGATGCTGTAAATTCAGCTTTGCATCACAGGAATAAATTGCATTTTTAAATATATCAAAATAGAAAACAGTCATTTTAAATTGTAAAAATATTTCACAATATTACTGTTTTTACTGTATACCCCCCCAATTTTCTTAACAGCATTATTATATTATATTATATTAAATTTAATTATATTATAATTAGGGCTGTCAAATGATTAATCGTGATTAATCACATCCAAAATAAAAGTTTTTTTTACATAATATATGTGGGTGCATTGTGTATAATTATTTTATATATATAAATACACACACATGCTTGTATATATTTATATAATTGTTGACACAATTTTCTATTAGATAGAAATAATCCTTTATCATTCAATAAATCAAGTTGACTGTTCTTGCCTGATAAGACTTTTTGCACATCTTGCAGCTGTAGGGTTTGTTGCCGTCATGAATGTTCATGTGTTTCTCCAGATTGGCTTCGCTGTTGAAGATCTTGCTGCACTCGGGACACTGGTGCAGCTCTTTCGGATGCACCTCCTGGATGTGCTGTCGGAGCTCGTCCAGCGAAGAGAAACTCACCCGGCACTTCTGGCAGTCGTGAGGTTCTGTAATGTCTAACGGGACAGAGAAGTAGTTTAGCCTGTGTTTATTAGAGAGTGAAATAAATCACGTGACTCGTGGATGTGCTTACTGTGAAAGTTCTGTAGATGGACGGATAGGCCGTTGGCTTGTTTGAATCCTTTCCCGCATTCCCTGCAGACATACGGTTTGTCTCCCGTGTGCGTGCGTACGTGACGCGTCAGTTCGATGGACTGTGCGAATGAGGCTGAGCAGTACTGACAGCAGTACATTTTACCTGCAAATGCAGAATTTGCAGAATGTTGCCACTGGTTTTCACATAAAAGCCTGAAATAATAATAATAATAAACTATTTAAACCATCCCACCCTCGGCATGCTTCTTCTTGGAGTGGTAGGACAAAGCGGCGGCCACAGAAAAGCTCATGTCACAGTGTTTGCAGTGGAAGGGTTTTTCTCCCGTGTGTAGACGCATGTGGTTCTTCAGGGACGAGGTGGCAGCAAACTTCGCCCCGCACTCCTCGCATGCGTACGGCCTCTCCTCAAAATGTTCCGTGCGTTTATGATACAAAAGACCTGAAAAGTATAAGTAATGAAATCATAAAACAGTGCTGATGTAAGAGTGATTTAAGGTCCATTGTATATCCATAAATGTATTCAAAAAAATCTTTTTTTTAATTGTATTTTTGGAAATGGAGATGTAGTGTTTTCATAACATTTTCACAACATTTCAAACCAGTGAAACTGAATCATGATAATTGAAGCCAATTTTGATATACTATAGCAAAAACGAATGTGCTAATGAATGCACTGTCTGGAGCTCATGCATTAAAGGGATAGTTCACAAAAAAAATAAACTTTTGTCATCATTCACTCACCCCTATGTTGTTCCAAACCTGTATTAGTTTCTTTCTTTTGTTGAATACAAAAGAAGATATTTTGAAGAATGTTGGTGTAAAATACTTATTTACTTATACTTATACTATAAAATACTTATATATTTTTATCCTACTATGGAAGTCAATGGGTGCCGTCAACTGTCTGGTTACCAACATTCTTCAAAATATCTTCTTTTGTGTTCAACAGAAGAAAGAAACTCATACAGTTTTGGAACAACATGAGGTTGAGTAAGTCATGACAAAATTTCCATTTTCGGGTGAACTATCCCTTTAAAGGGGTCATATAATGGTACATGCACTTTTACAAGTTGATTGTACTGAAATGTGTGTTGGCAGTGTCTGTACACAACCATCATAAAATGATAAAAATCCATCCAGTGGTTTTTGTTTTAATCTCCTTATATGTTTTCCCCTGCCTCAAATCAAGCCGTTCGACCCTGTGACGTCACACGGTCGGACGCCTCTCCCACGATTGTTGATTGACAGCAGCGTTTCAACACAGACCCGCCCTCGCTCGTGAGAGCTGTCAATCATAGTCTGCGCGGACCGGCGCGGTCATTGTTGATATGCTGGAGCACTGTCTATGAGCAGAATGGCGTCTAAGCGATTGTGGTGTTCTGCTCTTGGGTGTAATAACGAACACAGCAGTCATTTTAATGTTCCTAAATCCGAACCGCTGAAGACACAGTGGCAGAGTTTGTTTTCGAAGTGAATATTCCCCACGAGCAACGTCAATGCTTTCATGTTTGCGCGAATCATTTCTCACCAGACTGCTTTATAAGGAGGGTCAGTATAAAGCTGGTTTTGCTAAGAAGCTGCTCATGAAAAAAGGATCGGTACCAAATTTGTGTTCCTGCTGAACCTCCAGAAGAACGGAAGTGAGTGTAACGTTTTATTAACCTTTATAGCCTATTAATATTTATATTAATCTTGCAAATCGCTTGCACGCTTCACGATGTCGAAGGTTTACACTCAGGGTACATTACGGCATGTTATCTATGTACAACGTTCTCAATATAATTCATAATCCCACGTTTATAATGAACAACGCGTTATGGTTATTGTGTTATTGTGTTACAAACGGTGTACGCACAGCACAGAAAGGCGGGGTGAGCAAAGCTCATTAGCATTTAAAGTCATATGCACTGAAACGGCGTGCTGAAAACAGAGCTGTTTTTGACCAGGTAAAATAAGTGTTTTCTTACAATACTAATGAGAATTTTTAATTAAAGTATATTACAAACTTTTAATTTAGACCCTAATGAATCATATTAGCTTGTACAAAAATGGCATTATATGACCCCTTTAACAACCAGCATTTCAAAGTCTTGAGAACGATCATCCCCCACCTGAAGAGTGTTTGAAGGTCTTGTCGCACATGTCACATGGTACTTGTTCTGTTTTCTTCTTCTTAGCCGGCGGGCCGCCGTGGGATTCCATGCAGTGCTGGTGAAGGCTCTTGAGCGTTGGAAACGGCATTGAACACTCTGAGCAGCGCTGCTCCTTCCCCGGTGTGAGGGCACAGCCTTTCTTATGCTTTATCAGACGACACTTAAAGTCAAACGTCTTATTGCACCACTCGCAGCGGTAAGACACAGGCACAGCCTTCCTTCTGCCTTTTGTTTTGGAGTCTTCCCCATCATCATCATCCTCAGAGTCTGCAGTTGATACTTCTTGCTCAACCTCAGATTTGACAGGACAGTCAGAATCTGACAGAGGCCCTGTTTCAACATAGATAAAACGTAAAGTTTTGTTACGATTTTTCATCAGATGCTTTTAAAATGTGTGCAAAACTATCATATCATCACATGGAGAGGAATATCTATGTTCTGTAAAGTCCTTCACCAGTATGTTTGAGGTGCTTCATGAGAGTGGTCAGCTGAGGGAAGTTCTGCTGGTTGGCAGACAGCAGCTGGCACAGTGAACTGGCAAACTCTGAGTCACGACTCAAGACTCTCTCGACAGTCTGCTGTACTGACTCCAGCTCACCATCGGCTCTCCGACAGCTCTGGAGAAACTAGGACACAAAAATAATGTTTTGTAATCTTATATTTTATTTTATATGTTGTATATTTGCAAAAAAAAAAAAAAAAATCTCTTGGAAATACAAAGTATGCAACTAGTGTATTCTAATGTATAGTACACTGAAAACAGTAAACCAAAGGTGCCTGAGTGGATTTTTGAACTAATATTACCCACAACCCCTTGTGTATGGAGTTTGACTCTTTTCAACTTTCTGTTGTATAAAATTGAATGTACAGCAATGAAAGCAAGGTCTTACTGTACTACACACTCAAAATATGTACTTTGTCAGTGAATTATACTTACAATATACACACCTATTGTTCAAACGTTTGGGGTCAGTACGATTAGCCAATTAGGACGCAGAGCATAATTTCATAATTTTAATATATTATCCTCTATTTCTTACCTCAGCGAATCGCTCTGTTCCATGATCCGCTGCGTCCACACCCTGTTCGAGCAGGGTAATGTCGCTGATTGTTTCCAGAATGAGTGATTTGTGCTGGAAGAGCACATCTATGTCTTTAACTAAAAAATAAAGCATTGAAATATAATTTTGGTACACAGAGCGACTGGTTTAATTTACGTAATAAAGGATTTTTCTGAATTCGCACACATTCAGAGAATGGCAGTTGTAGTGACCAAAAGCAGTGTGTTGACGTAAAAGCTGTTTGACACTCACTGGTTTGGAGAAGTTTTCGTGCGTCTCGTTTCTCCTTGACCTCCTGCATGAGGAGCCCCAGCTCTGGACTGTGTGTCTCTGTCCACAGGAACAGCCTCCAAACAGTCACCGCCTGCAGTGACCCGTCCAATGCTGCAGATATCAGCCTTTCAACCACTTCGCCATCTCCTTTTCCTCCGAGCAAGGCTTCAATACACTTGATAGGACAAAATTCTATTAAAATGGTTCCTTGCATTGAATCCATTTCTTCATTTTGTAATGCAACACAGGTACCTCTCTCTCGTTTGCAGGCATGTCAGGACCCAATTTAAGGCTCTGTTCGATGAGCTGGAGGTCCAGATTCAGCTCGATGAGTCTGTTCTGATATATTCTCAAAAAATCCATCCCACTGCTGTCTTCAGCTGTGTTACCTGAGAAAGTAGCAGTCATCAGAAGTGTTAGCTAAAGGAATATGCTGTATGATGAAACGTATCAGAGGTTTTTGCTGTGCATACCCGTTGCGTCTTTCAGGGCCTCCAGAAGCTGAAGCAGATCTGAGGAGCTTTCCTTCACCTCATTGAGCAGCATCAGAAACGTTTCTTCACTCATGGTCTTCTCTCTGAGTTTACATAACAACCTTTCCGCCACCTCCACTGATGATGGAGCAGAACAGCACTGCAGCACTGCCTTAAGAAGAACAGACACATGCACTACCAATCAAAAGTTTGGGGTCAGAAAGTACCATTAAAGTTTTAATTATATTCAGAAAAGATGCATTCAATTGATCAACAGTGACAGTAAAGAATTTACATTGTTACAAAAAAATTCAATTTCAAATAAATGCTATTCATTAAAGAATCATCAAACATATTAAGCAGCACAACTGTTTTTAACATTGATAATAATAAGAAATGTTTCTTGAGCAGTAAATCAGCATATTAGAATGATTTCTGAAGGATCATGTGACACTGAAGACTGGAGTAATGATGCTGAAAATTCAGCTTGGCACCACAGAAATAAATTATATTTTAAAGTATATTAAAATAGAAAACAGTTATTTTAAATTGTAATAATATTTCACAATATTACAGTTTTTACTGTATTTTTAATTAAATAAATGCAGCCTTAAGGGACTTATTTTAAAAAAAACACATAAAAAAACCATTACAAACCTGAAACTTTTAAATGTAGTACTGATATACTATATATAACAAATTACACTATAATTAAGGAGTACTATAACAAACTGTAAGGGACAAATGTACCTCTTTTTCCATATCCCTGGAACATCTGTTCACTGCATTGGTCAAAAGCTCTGAGAGGTTGTTGACACTGGAGAGGTGACGAGTTAGTTCTGAGACACGCTCTAAAAGCCCAGCAGGCTCCCGAACATCTGCTGCAGGATCTGTGGATAAACAGATCACAGGACAAGTTGTACAATCACTCGAAGTCGAGCAACCCATGATTCAACACTCATGGGTTCTTTCACCCAGGTCAGTTTACCTTTTGGCTTGGGGCCGCTCTGATTTCCCTGCTCCTCCAGAACTGATCCTGGTTCAGGGTTTAAACATTTTAGCTGTTCAAACAAAGTAAGGACTGTTTGAGCTGACAGAACTCTCTCAACTTTCACATGATTTAGCAACCGCTGGTAAACCTCATCTGCTGATGGATCTCCTCTGAAGCTCTCCAGTATGACCTGCAGAAGATCAGAGGGCAGATCTGAATGCAATATTACATTTGAATTATGAAACTGAGTCCTAAATCTAAGCTTGACTACTGCAATTCTTTATATATCGGTCTCCCCCAGACTCTTCTTGTCCGCCTACAGTTAGTGCAGAATGCAGCGGCAAGGCTTTTAACGGGGGTGCGAAAGAGAGAACATATTACTCCGGTACTGCAATCCCTACATTGGCTACCGGTCAAATTTAGGATTGATTTTAAAATTCTCTTGTTTGTTTACAAGGCATTGTCAGGCCTTGCCCCCCAGTACATCAGTGATCTTATAATTCCTTACTCTCCTTTTAGAGTTCTAAGGTCCTCCGATCAACGACTTTTAAAGGTACCTCGTTGTAATTTAAAATCAAAAGGAGATCGTGCTTTTTCCGTGGTAGGTCCCAAACTTTGGAATAGTCTCCCATTCCATGTGAGGTCAGCTCCATCGATAACAACTTTTAAGTCTTATTTAAAAACTTATTTATTTTCTTTAGCTTTTGAATAAAGTATGTCTGTTTTGTTGTATGACTTTTATGCTATTATTCTGTAAAGCACTTTGGGGCAACGTCTGTTGTTTAAAAAATGTGCTATATAAATAAAGTTGCTTGCTTGCTTGCTTGCTAAATGCTTCTTTAATACATCAACATATCTTAAGAATGAATTATCAGTTACATAAACTGGCGCCAAAAGATAGTTTAATGTTTTTGAAAGAAGTCTTATGCTCACCAAGGCTGCATTTATTTGATCAAAATACAGTAAAAACAGTAATATTTTGAGAAATGATTTCAATTTAAAAGAACTGTTTTCTATTGTAATATATTTTAAATGTAATTTATTCCTCTGATATAAAACGCTGAATTTTCAGCATCATTACTCCAGTCGTCAGTGTCACATGATCCTTCAGAAATCATTATAAAATGCTGATTTGCTGCTCAAGAAACACTCAATTATCAATGTTGAAAACAGTTGTGCTGCCTAATATTCTTAATATACTTTCCATCATAGGAATAAATATAATTCTAAAATATATTAAAATAACAATTAAAATGCAACAATTGCATTAATATGCAAATAATATTATTTTACAATATAATTTTATTTAACTGTATTTTGATCAAACAAATTCAGCTTTGGTGAGTAGAATTTCTTTCAAAAAAAAAAAAAAAAAATCATAATTATTACATACACTTTTTTACTCCTATCTTACCTTGTGCTCCTCTGTGGAGATTGTATCCCAGATCTCAAGAACCTTAACATATGACTGTCCACACTGTAGGATCTTTGTGACACCAGCTTGATTTTGAGAGATCAGCTCAACTGCATTGTCCTCTGAACATAGAAATAAACACAATTCATACAAAATGAAGTGATCTCAATCCCTTAATCAGTCAATCTTTTACCTTGCAAACTCTTCTTGTCCCTTTTAAGCTGTTCTGATTCAGATTGCTCCTTAAGACAGTCAAGTTTCATTACTTGAGAGTCCATCGACTCTGTCTTAGTTTCCATCGAAGTCTGCTTCATGAGGTCGGTGAGAATGTTCTTACAACCAACAGCCACATCAAACATCTGCAGGCTGTCAGCGGCGGCTATGAGTCGGGTGAAGTTGTGCTTGCCGGGAGGCAGTTTACCAGTGTACACCATGTCCAGAAGAGAGGAAAACTCTTGAGAGGACAGTAAATCTGTGTCGATAGAGATGCTGTCAGAACCTTCCAGAACAGACTTAAATAACATACTGGAGGCCGCCAGCACTAGCTTGTGAGCGGGGTGGGGGGTCTCGCCCACCAGGATAGAGCAGTCGCAGAACTGCTTCTCCTTTCGTAAAGCATGCAGTTGCTGCATGAGCTGTCGACTGTAGTTTGGGAGCTCCATCTTGGACCTGTAGAGGTGGATAAGAAGAACAAGAAAATGATCAAAATTAACCCAGTTTATGCTTAAAACAAGAGAGAAAAAATCTGGACGTAGGCTAAGAAAAATAATATTGTTTTCCCTTTGAATTAAATGTATTTTTCTTGCCCCACTGAAAGTTTTTATTTTCTTGTTTTGAGGATACATTTTTCATTAATTTTGCTTCTCAGGTAAATGTATCTTGTTGTAATAATGTTAAGATAATTGTACTGGAAAAAGTTTATGCTTAAATCTGATTATTTGTCAGCTTATTGGTCCCCTTCAAATTAAGTTTGACACGTTTTTTTCTTGTTTTTAGCAAAAACTCACTTCATTTTTTTCAGAACAACAAAAACAGTATCCTTTGTCATATTCCTTCTGAGTATATTGATTTAAGAATTGATTTATATTTTTATATATTGTGTAAAATTCTGTTTGCCGTGAGACATAAAAGGGGAACCCCTTATTGCTCTGGTGGACAAAAAATATCAGCTCAAATGTATTTTGTTTCTTCACAATGTGTTTAAAGATAACCCAAACATTATTGTTGAGTGAAATATTCCTTTCCTGTTCCTAAATAAAGTACAAGAGTGCCTTGACAAAGACCTAATCGTGCACAGTAACTATGTTTCATAATATCTTGTAAGTCATAAATTATCTTAAAGCACACAATTATTTAGATATATAAAATGTAAACAAACACAGTACATGAGGTGTGTCTTTATAACTGAAGGGGAGACATTTTAGCCTGTTTTTCCCTATGGTTTATTCAAAGTGTAAATTAAGGAAACAAATGTACACAGTATATAACAATTTAGAAGACAGTAATTGGAGGATTTTTATCTTCATAGCAAGAACAAAATAGGGGAAAAAACAAATATTTAACTACATAAGCTAAATGTAACGCCATAAACACGTGCAATGAGGGACATTTCAGTGTTCGGCTAAGCTGACATGCTATCTAATGCTAATATAGAAAATAAAAGCAGTAAAGGTAGAAATTGCACAATATTAGAGGCAAATGATTGTGCCTCACACAACACACCACAGCTAAACACTTCCCCTTTACCTTTAAATTCAAAAGATCCGGCTCTTTATTTAAACTCCTTCGAAGGACAACATTTCGCTTCGCAATAAAGATTCGGGCCAAAACAGTGTAACACTGCGCATGCGCGAAAAGATTTGCGAGCCATTAAATAACACACTGCGCATGCGCGTCACGACTTGCCTTGCGGTACCTTTTACACGCATGCGTATAATGAACAGCTGGTTTTAAGGATAATTAAGAAACAAAAATACTCCTCTACAGAAATCAATTACCTAGTCACGTACACCCACCCACAAAGCTTTGCTGAATTTATGTAAATCCACGAACAACATGTTTAATTTGATATAAATACCTATTCATTCTATGAAAATTCCCTTTATTGACATTGAGCTGTGTATTTCCTATTTTGTCGTGCATCTCTACGCAGATAGAAGGTTTAATAGTTGTAAATAAGTCCAACACATTTTTATTAATGTTTAATTAACCTCTTGGGTTGTCATCTGCAAAAGTATCTTAATTCAAATAAAATGACTCAATTATCTCAATCCAGAAAATTTTATTGGGAAACGTATTTACATGATATAAATGTATTTGTACTGTAATTTTGTCAGTTGTATAAGATTGATTTTCAAATTCATTTAAAATAAACACCTAAAAAATGTCTGCAAGTTTTCAAACCATATGGTTACCTTTTTTAATCTTACTGCAGGTAAACAGGGTAAAATTTATACAAGCCCCTAAAATACATTAATATAAACATTAGCCACTATGTGCAAAATGGGATCACATATTTATTTCAATATGTTAATTAAAATTGTGTAATGAATCAGGAAGTTAGCATTACATCTTTCATAACAGCTGAGAAATATTTAATATAAATATTTTATATAAATATTATAATATTACGATTGGAATTTGAGAGTTCTGTCAAGTTTTTCAATGCAGGTTAAATGTATGCACTGTTATTTCATAGTTACAGTCGTATGGATACAAAATATAAATGTTTAATTGTATCAGTCAGTGTGATAAACATTTTTGCTGGGTCTCAAGATGTTGACTGACGGGACCAGAAACACAACAGTAACATGAATATGTGCACATATGAAGATGTAAAAAGAATATTTATTGCCCATATGAAAGAACATACAGAAAAGTTCACACAAATGCCTGCTAGTAGCAGAACATGTCTAAACTATTTAGCAATGCTGTAATATTTCCACATTCGGAAATGTCTCCTATTTATGCTCATCTTTCTAGACTTTTCTTCACTGCTGTATTTTGATGAGGTTATTTACATTAACAAAACAAAGACTAAATACGTTTTTTTTTTTAATATTCAAGTTGCTCATGCATTCTTAAATATGTACGAGCTCTATTGCAGTGCCATCACAAGCTTCTTTTCAACAAAGGATTTACAGAGACTTACTTTTTTACACACAAAATATGATCAGAACATAATCTCTGAACATGACATTGCAATAAAACAAGGAGGAATTCAGATTTTCCTTGAAATGGAACGTCCTTTGAGGAAATCTTGACCCGTATTTTTCACAGTCATGGTAAGCACGACCACAAAACCTTGCAGAATGCATCAACATCTTTCAATATTAAAAGCCAGCACGATGTTTTAAAGCAAAAAGACACTTTTGAAGTTGTTGCAACATTCAAAAACAAATTAAAAAACAAAACAAAACAAAAGATCTGTGTAATTCAAGCTTTATCCTTGCTCAGCCATTGTCAGCATCGTTCCACATCTGAGGCCTCCATCAGTGTCCTAATAGTCCAGTGCCTGAACAAAAGGAAACAAATACAGTAGAACATGATTGACAACGTCATGTTCCTGATTCTTTCACAAAGATTTTAAAGATTAAAAATGTATGTCAGAAATTATCACAATAGTATATGCATACCTTTAAATCCTTCTTCAGGCATACAGACTACAAAAAAATAAAATAAAATAAAATACTCAGCATAAAAAAAATGCAGATATATGTGTTTGAAAATGAGACATACTGGTATTAGAATTTAAGCTGACGTAAACAGCACTTACCTTGATAAACATCATCCATTGCAGCATAATCAGCAATGGGTTCATCAGCCTGTAGAGGGTAAAATTCAAGCAGCTTACTTATTTATTTTAGAAATGTACAATATTACTGTTTTTATTGTATTTTTGATCAATAAATGCAGCCTTGGTGAGCATAAGAGTTAAAAAAATAATAATAATGAACGCCCAAAAAGGCTGTTGCAGCTCATTATGTTTTGAAACACAACCAATGTATCTGTTCCCATCAAAACAGAGTTGAGAGCTGTACCTTAAGGCAAATTATGCTCTCTGGGATGACTCCAAGACTTCCTAGTGTGGCGGAGTCATCTGTTAAACAGCGTCCGTCTATGGAAAGGTTTTGGTCGAATGGAGCCACAGAGAATGCATGCATGATCTGTGGATGCAATTATTTCAAATAAGACAACAAGCGGCATCATATGAAATCTAAATACTTAATTTTCGCTGTACTAAACAGACCTGGATCTTAAGCTCTTTGAGCGTCTGGTTGGCAGAGACGATGAGGGCTTTCTCCCCACGGAGTTTCCTGTGCCTTGTGCTCCTCCTGATGCCCGACTTGGAAGCAGAGGCAACAGCGGGTGTAGAGAGAGAGACGGTGTCGTTTAGCTTCTGCCGTTTGGCTCCGCCCTCAGACTGATGTAAAGAAGGGAGCTTGAGCCATGGATAGATAGATAGATAGATAATCAGGTAGACAGATGGATAGTCAGACAGACGGACAGATATTTGGATAGTTGGATAAACAGTCAGACGGACAGACAGACACACAAAGTCAGATTGATGGATAGACAGACAAACAGACAGACGAATAAAAAGTCAGACAGATAAATAGATGACATATTTGATAATAAGAGATTCCATGTCCAGTGGAATAAAATGGAGTAGGACTATTATTAAATTCACGGAAAATCAGGTGACCAGATTGCAAAAAAGAATAAAAAAGCCAATAAAGCTTAAATTGGGCTCACGTATAGCCTACCTCTCTCATTCGGCATGAATCCAAATGTTTCCATGGCTGCGATGGATTTTTATTTTGTAAACAAAGCTTTGTGCTTCAGTCCTGTGGTAATATTCACGTAAAAAAAATGTTTTGGCAGACCACCGCTGGTGCTACTCGGACAAGTTTGTCAAGTTTACCGACAGCCCTAGATAGATGATGGCTAGATGGACAATTAGAGAGATGGACAGACAGATAGATCAAAAGTACCTGACTGAAGTCAGGATCTTTCTCTCCATCTATCTTTGGCTCTTCTCTTTCATCCTCAACATCTGACCCACTCACACTGAACTCAGGGGCAGATTCCTTAATCATCTATAAAAGAGAAACCAAATGGCACACAAGTTATTCCTGGTAGTACAATTGTAATGTTTAGGGTTTAACTGAGGACACGTGATCATGCAAAGACTCACCATTTTATTGTCAATGACTTTGCGAACATACACAGTGGCCTGCGCGTACTCCCTCATGTCCCTCTGCTGCTGGAATATGAAGCCCTCTCTGCATTCTCGACACAAATCTGAGAGCACAAAACACATTCTCACATGAAATACAACGTCTGTTTGAGGGACCTCGGAGAAACTACTATCATTTAGCTCACCTGGATGAGTTTGGTATTGCACAATGCCATTTTCTTGCGTTTTATCATGAATCTGATATATGGAGATGACATGGTCCACCAGAAACATTTTGTAGATCACGTCCCATTCAGCAGGCCAGAGAAGAGCTATACTGTGCATTGACAAACACTCAGACTTAACTCAGAGTTGCTCCTAATATGGGTACTGACGAATAACGTGTCCATATAATATTTCATATAAAATAAATAAAAAATATTTTTCAATTTTGTATTGTATATAAGTAGAAAATTTTAATGCAAATTAAAACTATTTCTGCAGTTTTGTTTAATGACATGTGAATGTGATACCAGTAATTAAAGCTGATTATTTCCCCCTCCAGGACATGTGAGAGGTCAGGACTGAGCAACTCACTGTTGGGCGTCTCCTTGCAGCATGGAGTCATAGGTGAACATGAAGCCACCATGAGGGCAGAGCAGGATACTGTTCCCCACATTGGACACTGGGTTACTCTTTGCTGGCCTCCTGTGGTATGATCAGGTATAACAGGAGACATTACAATAATTTAGACAAATCAAAACTGCTAAATCATTTTAGAAATTACAGAAAAAGGTTTTTTTTCCATTACCTGATAAATTTCCTCCATTCTTCTACAAAGTAAAGGGGTACAATGTACAAAACATCTGTGTCCTAAAAAACAATTCAAACCAAAGTCAGTGAGCTGAAAATAAGAATGAAATACTGATGTATTCACCCTCTCTTCAAGAAGACGTTTTAGTTATTCAAAACATCGGTGGAAAAACTGAAACAGAATCCCTTATTTGTGGAAAATGACGTTACCTGTGGCCATTTTTGCAGCGTGGGCCGATTTTTCTCCTGGAAGAGGTTGAGCAGGGAGCTCTTCTGTTCATTTGCCATCATTCTGTTCAAAGCCTCGTTCTCTTTCCCTTCCCTATCCAGCCTCTGAAAGAAACAGCATATCTTAAAACCTTCTAAGACTTTTCCCAAATAATAGTAGGCAGATCACAAGGTTTTCGAGTGTCCACTACACCTTTTAACCATGACAGCTGTGCTAATTGATCAATTTGTTACCATGCACTGCTGACAGGGCTCGTGATGTTGCGCGAACTCTGGTGCTTTGGGGAAATACATCCGTAGTTTATTCCACACTTCTGCAGAGACCAGCCGTCTGTCATTCTCTAGTATACTCAAACCACCTGCGGGAGAAAGAAAAAGCACAATTACGGAGTATCATTGCAAAAACTAACCTTGCTAATGAATAATAGTTTAAAATATTTAAATTAATGGAGTAAATAGTCATTTAAACTCTTAAATTCATGTAAAATGACAGCATCTTATTTGCTATCATTAAATTGGTTAGATGCACCATTTAATAAAAAAAAACATTTAGTTTTCAGTTTTATCCAGAGAAAACAAACCATGATAACAGAGAATGTCTTCATTAAAGTTCTTCATCTCTTCACCGTCCCTTTCGTCACTATCTCCTTTAACTTCATCA